AAAAACCATAGAGTGCCTTGGAAATGAAACTAAAATTGTGAAAGTTAGTGTCAAGATACAGTTTTTCATGCTTAATATTTCAATAAAAAAAATTGAGATTGATTGAAAAATGCACATTCTACAGGGGTGGTTCCATTTTAAATGGGTCACACTGTACATATTAGCTTCACTTGTATGTTTGTTTGAAACCGATTTTGACTGACTTTATACGGTTGTAAGTTGTAAGAGCAAGTAAGACAACCACACTGTCAGTGCATGCGTATATATTTAATATTAAAACAAATAGACTTGAAGTAGCAAGCCAAACTAAAAAGTGGGAAATAAATAATAGTTTAAAAAACTTAAAAACACGCTTTAATAGCAACACAAATTAAAAAAATCAAAAATAAATCGAAACTAATTTAAGTTTGTGGTCAACATCAATAATTCCTGTGGCTTGATGTAAAAGTGTGGGATGACAATCTGACAAACAGCTCCTAACCAAATATTTTTAACAATGGATATTTATCACCACACACTTTTTTACAACAAAAATTTATTTTTATGTAAATAGATTTATTCTGATTTCAGACTTATTGAAAGTCATTAGTTACCACAAGCCATAGGACTTATCGATGTTGAAAACTTTAGTGAATTAGAAACCTCCGTTATTATTCGTTGAGTACTCTGCTAGACGTAAACTTTTACGGATTACGGCACAAATTATATGCCGCCAAAAGGTACAGTTACCAGAGGTTCATTACCTAATGACCAGTGACCTGTTGCTTTGCCCGACGCGACGTCTGGAAACTATAGATTCCCATTGGCGTACGTATCAGTTTAAAATATATATTTATGATACACGTCCATATAGGACAATCTAACTCACTGTTTTACTAAACGAAATAGGGAATATTCTAGCTTCCGCGAAATGATGGGGCTCATCATTTCTCACGTCATTATTTCTCATTTGATCAAACAAGATGAAACTGAGTCCATGTCTCAGCCCCCCAGGCTTAAGGTGAATGCTGTTATAGAGTATTTTACAGATACAGATCGAAACGGCAATGAAAGAAACATATGTTTTGCAATAAAGTACAAAAGATCAAACAAAGATTATTCGCATTTGATCTTGCTTCTATTTATTGATTGTATTAATTCTTCTAATAAACATTAATTTTTCATTTGGAGCTATTTGTGGCCAGCTTGAACCGGTTTATCTATATCAAACAGTAGGTAATACTATGTACTCCATTTCATTATATGTATATTGATTAAGGCTGCACCAAATGGTTCTAGACAACCGTCGAATTAAAGTGAGAGTGATAGTAGGCAGAAGTTATGAACATGTCAAAAAACGTGTTTGTCACATATTAAATCAAAATTTCACATGAGAAAGCTAGCCTCGTGTTGGGTGCCGCGTTTGCTCACATCAGACCAAAAATATGTTCGAATGAACATTTCCTAACCTATTCAAAAGTGTATCAAACTATTACATATACACTTATATACATTAATTTTCATTGTTCCTATCCTATCCGTATTTTGACGGAACGGGCTGTGCTGTGCCGGATAAGTGGGCGCCAAGCTCAACACGCTTATATTAGCTTCACTCGTATGTTTGTTTGAAACCGATTTTGCCTGACTTTAAACGATTGTAAGTTGTAAGAGTTGTAAAAGAAAGTAAGACAACCACACTGTCAGTGCATGCGTATATATAATAATAATAAAAAAAGGTCTTTTAATAATTTTCAATTATATTCATACATGTGAACTAAAAAAATAAGTAAATGGGCGAGATTCAGTATGGCAATCGGCACCGAAAGGTACAGACTGACATCTGTTCTATCCATCTCAACCCAAGCTGAATCGATCAAAAAAAAAATTTTTAAATTTCAATGTATCAAATTATTATACACTAAAATCATTTGCTTAACAAAATTTCAAATATTTTGGTTTTACATTAATTTTAACCGATAAACCTTGATGCACCCTTCATAGTCATCTTCATTTTCATCAGGTTGGAATTTTTTTCCCTTACCCTTTCAACTGAGATTCGGCAGGAAGACGAATGGTTCATAACGTAAGGTGTTTTGGTGGCGACATAAAGGTCAATGACCTCTAGCCGCTCTGGCCTTGTGTACCTTTTCCTGACTGGGGTATTTGATGAACAAACTGTTCATTTTAACAGACGTTGTGGGCCTTCACTCAACTGAGCGACGGGGGCCTTCTGAATCGAGTGGGGTCGTCTATAGTGTAATCTACAGCTTCCCTGACTAATGGGTTATCATGAGTTTCCGCTGATTTGAAAACTCAAGATGGAATTTTCCACCAGTCTCAGGGCTTGCAGCTCGGTGGAGTGTGCCCACCTGGAGCCGAATTGTACGTCAGGCAGAACATTTCAGTCTTCAACTTCTTCTGTTAGCACAGCTTCTTCTGCAGCACAACACGTTCAGTCAACTTAGCTGGGTTCTGGCCCTGTTTTGGAATCATGACAACTACGGCATGCTTCCATCTTCGAGGAAAGTATCTGAGAGTTATTGAGCTGTTGATAATGTCCAGCAGGTATCTGATGAAGTTCTCCGGGAGCTGCTTCAACAACCTGTTGTTGATTGAAATCAATTTCCAGAGCCTTCTTGAGTTTGGAGGCCCTAATGTACCCCCGCAGTTCTTCGTCCGAAGCTGGACGGTTCACGTCGTCATCATTTTCCCTAAGAATGCGCCGAACCCGGTGTTCCAGCCGGATATCACGGTCAATATCATCATCCGGATCAACGTTAAGTTGAAACTGACTCTCCATTGTGTCTGCAAAGGCCAACGCCTTCTCGGCGGGGAAGTAGCAGATGACGCGCTGTCCGTGAAGAGGAGAGGGAGCGGTTTTCCTCTTCTTGAGCCTGCGGATGACTCGTCAAAGCTCGTCATCCCCAGGTTCCAGCGATTCCAAACACCCGCTCCTCTTCTCGTTTCTATAGTCAGTGATGGCCTGTTTAACCTAGTTGGCCATTCTGCTGGCCGCAGCCTTGTCTCCAGGGTAGAGAGTCCGCCGATAAACTCGTCTGAGTCGTTTTTTCTTGGCAAGGTTCTTTATCCTGGTAGGAAACTCATTGTAGCTCCGCAGAGGACACTCTGTCCTGGACAATTCGTTGCGAGTTTGAAGCGGCTCACGGTCTGTACGTGTCTCCACTAGGTGAGCCTTGAAGGCTCACCTAGTGGTGCGCACCTAGTGGTGCGATAATCCTGGGGAGGGGGGTCATCACCCAGCATCATGATGACTGGATTATGATCTGAGTCAAGTTCCGACAAAGTGTACACTTCACAGGACATGGAGACGTTCCTGAGCAGTATGATATCAAGCACGTCAGGCCTTAAATCCCCACCGTAGAATGTGGGCTCATCTGGACCCATCACTCGATACTCATGCCTGTCAGCATGCGCATGGAGCGCTCGGCCGTTCGCATTGGTGAGTCTGCCCACAGATTATGCTTGGCGTTGAAGTCACCAGCAGCAATTGTGGGGGTATTTGTCGACATCAGCATTTCATCCAGTGATTCTGGGAGTAGACGATTCCGCGGAGGGTTGTAAACTGAGGTTAGTCTATGACGACCTCTTCTCAGTTGGAGTTCAACGACCACGGCTTCCATGCCATGTAACTGATCCGAATCAATGCCGAATTGTACGTGAAGAAGATTACGTTTGACAAAATTCCCAACTCCTCCTCCAGCACGTCCAACGCGTTCTCTGTAGTAAAAACGATAGTTTGGAATACCAAAAGGTTCATCGTGCAGGTGGGTTTCCTGCACCAGTGCAACATCGATGTTTTGTTGTATTAGAAAATTCTCAAAATCTAATTTCTTGTTTGAAATACTGTTGGCATTCCAAAATAATCACCTTCAAACAAACCCGGAGGAAAGTTTCTTGTTTATAATGCCTATATGCTCCTCAAATTTCAGAAACTCATCGATATTAATTCCCAAGAATTTTGTAGAGATCTTATTTTCCACTAGTGTACTTTCCATATGAAATAAAGGTGATAATTCTTTTTTTTTTGTGTTGAATAACACCAGACTTGCATCGCACCATTGTTTAATTTCGCTGGGGTCATTACAGATGCTTTCATATACATTCGGTTGATTTATATTATGCCACAAAAGTGTGGTATCATCTGCAAAAATGGTGAAACTACCAGAAATACGTACAGTAGCCAGGCCATTTACATGTAAAAAAGTATAGGTCCTAAGATCGATCCTTGGTGCACTCCTGCTTTCACATTATTTGTACTTGAGCAACTATTGGTTTTAAAAAACTGTCTACGTCCTGTAAGGTAGGATTAAAACCATTTCAGGCAGTTTCCGAACTGATGAAATTCACCATGAAACATTGTCAACCACATTCAGACAATTGATGCACCCTATAGCCCTTGATAATTGACAGATTAAAAAAGCAATGTCTACTCCTGCGATTTCAATACTCGTAATATTTTCGAAGTTTCCAAATACACTTTTGATGCATCTTTGGAAAGACAAAAATAAGGCTTTAGAAAACTGCAGTAATCCACTGTAGTGTTCATAAGGAAACGTAAATTTGATAATGGTGACCGAGAAACGAAACGTCGGATAACGAATCGGAAAAAACCTTCATGTAGTAGAAAAAAAGTGTAAAAATGAATGTGTAATTTTGTTTTAAATATTTCTTTTAAAAAAACTTGATATGGGATATGGATATTCCAAATAAACCTACTTGGATTTTTTTAAATGGCCAAAAAAAAATGCATAAATTTTCCCTAAATAAAACGCCTACCTATCTCTAATATTTTCCAAAATCCTAATGACCAAGTTCATTCTATTTAGTTGTAATATTACAAAAAAGATAATCCAGAGCAGGGCAACTAGTAAATATTTGATCATTGTATGTGATCATTGTTAATGTTCGTTCACCTTAAATCAGCTTGAAATTTTCACCCCAATTCTTTGAGGTTTAGTTTTTTTGGAACAGTTGGCAACATTGCGCAGTTGACTTGACACTTGCCACGTTAACTAATCAAACGAAAACATCTTAAGGTTAGGTTGGTTATATGATTGTTTCATTTTCACTAAAAAATTGTGTTGCGTTATCATTATCGAACAAGTGGTCAAAGTCTATAAATAATTAATTCTGTACTTGAAAAACAGTGTAGATTCACTCAGTTCTCCATTAACTTTTGTGACTACTGTGTTGATAAAAGGTAAGATCGAATATTTTCATTCCAAATAGTGTTTCCTGAACATTTTGTTTTTTTTTTCAGATATCTCAAAAATGAGTCGCGTATTTGTGATTGGTGTCGGAATGACAAAATTTGAGAAGCCAGGAAAAAAGGCAGGCGACTATCCACAATGGGGCAAGGAAGCAATTTTGTCTGCCCTTGAAGATTCAAAGGTGAATATTGCTGACGTTCAATTGGCAACCGCAGGCTTCGTCTACGGAGATTCTACTTGCGGCCAGAGGGTTATATACGAGGTAGGAATGCACGGCATTCCCATATTCAATGTAAACAACAATTGTTCCACCGGTTCCAGTGCACTCATGCTAGCGAAGGAAATGGTGGAATCGGGAAAGTGCGATTGCGCCCTGGCAGTAGGTTTCGAAAAAATGGAAAGAGGCAGTTTGGAGCCCAAATTCAATGATCGCACAAATCCAATGGATAAGCATGTAGAAGCTATGGCTGAACTGGTCGATATCGAGGCTGCTCCAATAGCTGCTCAAATGTTTGGTAACACTGGAATCGAACATATGAAAAAGTATGGAACTAAACCTGAGCATTTTGCCAAGATTGCTTATAAAAATCACAAACATTCCGTTAACAATCCCAATAGCCAATTCCGTGACGAATATTCTTTGGAACAAATTATGAAATCACCGAAAGTATATGGTCCACTGACAAAACTCCAGTGTTGTCCTACAAGTGATGGCGCGGCTGCCGTTATAATAGCATCAGAGCGTTTTGTTAAAAGTCGTGGTCTTGAGTCAAAGGCAGTAGAGATACTGGGAATCGAGATGGCCACAGATTTAGCTACAACTTTCACTGATAAAAGCCACATGAAAATTATCGGGTACGATATGACTAAACTTGCTGCTGAAAAGTTATTCAAAAAAACAAATAGGAAACCCACCGACGTACAAGTTGTAGAACTTCACGATTGTTTTTCTGCTAACGAACTTGTTACTTACGAAGCCCTAGGTTTGTGTCCTCCCGGTAAAGCAGGAGAACTGATAGACCGAGGTGACAATACTTACGGTGGTAAATATGTTGTCAACCCTAGCGGAGGACTTATTTCTAAAGGACATCCTTTAGGAGCTACAGGATTGGCACAGTGTGCTGAATTATGTTGGCAACTGAGGGGTGAGGCAGGGTTACGTCAGGTCCCTGGTGCCAAGTTGGCTCTACAACATAATATTGGAATAGGAGGTGCTGTAGTAGTGGCGCTATACCAACTCGGTTTCCCGCAAAACCAAAACAAAGGTTATGAAGGTCCTAAGACAGAAGGTTCAGTTGGTGATGAAGGTTTCATTGTGACTCCCTACCTGAAAATTCTACAGCAAGCTATGGATGAAGATGAAGATGGCCTTGTTAACAACCACAGAGCAATATACGGATTGAAAGTTGTTAAACCTAATGGCGAAACTGGATACTGGGTTATCAATTGCATGACCGGAAAAGGTAAAATTGAATTCAACGGTAAAGATAAACCACAAGTTACATTCATAGTTAAAGATGGGGATGTTATGGAATTGCTCACGGGAAAAATTCCTCCACAAAAAGCATTTTTCCAAGGAAAGGTCAAGATTCAAGGAAATATTGGGATCGCTATGAAACTGATTGAGTTGCAGAAAACTGCTGCCAAAAAAATTGAAGTTTTGAGAGCCAAATTGTAAAATCAATACTCTTATTTTATACTCTTGAGCTATTTGGATAAAAACTATAAATTATTTCCTAGCATCCAAAAAAAATGTAGGTATATGAAAACAAAGTTATTCCATTTTTTTATTTTAAAAATTACTTGTATGGCAACTCTAAAAGTTATTTGTTTTTTGAATATTTTTTGTTGTTTTATATTTTGTTGAAGTCTACTTGTTTATAATGATTCAAGTATTGTCATTGTCCCTTATCTATCTGATAGATATTTTTAAACTCTTACAATTTTATATTTCTTTGGGTTCATTCTGTATGATTTTTTCTGATATTTATCAATTAAGTTTCAGACCTGTTTACCTACTCAATACTGAAACTGTCATATAATAATATATTTAGTTATTCTTAATAATGCATTTTAATATATGAAGTGGTTTATTAGTCTGATAATGATATTTGTATATGGGACAATCAACATATGTTAGTTTTTTACTTCTTATTTTTTGTTATGGATATTTTGTACTGTGTTGAAGTGATATTTTAATAAAATACAGCAATTATAATTGTTTTTCTTCAGTTTGATTTCGTTTAATAATGTCTGCAAATTTTTCATTACTTCAAAACTCCAGGTAAGCCTTACCTTTGGATATTATTACATTACAGCATTTATCAATAATTATATATTTTCTTTCTTATATGAAGGAGTGCTCCGATGCCTCATATTGCAATCAAAACATTGACATCATTAATAAGTACACACAAAGCTAATACTCTGTTTTAAATAACTTTGCAAAATAGGTACCTAGGGGAAGGAAGGTTCTCTTTGAAAGAAATGAAAATAAAAACTATTCATGTGTAAAGAGTTACCAACTGATACACATGTCTTCATTAGATTAGATGTAGTCTAAAAACCTTTGCAACGGCCATATTCTGAACCATACAAGGTTCTGTTTTGGGTCCGATATTGTTCAATATTTACATCAATGATTTATTTTACATACAATCTGAAGGGAAAATTCAATCTATTGCAGATGATACGGTGATTTCATGTACTGCTAATAGTTGTTATAATTTAAAATTAGGAGTTGAAGCAGAATTCAAAATTATCAAGAAATGGTTTGATGGTAATTTATTAACGATGAATGTTGACTTTCAATTCTTGCCAAAATTTTTCACCAAAATTAGTGAGAATTTTATATTTATGTAATCATTTGTTATTTTCTTTTTGTTATTTACTTTGTGTATGAATATATGTAAATTGAATTTATAAAGATGTCTTTTTTTTAAGACTTGGCACAAGTTTCACTTCTCAAGGTCGTTGCCATTTTATTTAGAAATTTGTTTTATTATTTCCTATGTATATATTATAAAATGTCATGAATAAACTATTTAATGGTTTAAATCAACACTAAAGAAAAAACAAAGTTTCTATGGAAAAATCTAACACTACCCGCTCTGGAAGAAAAGGTAAATTCCTTATTCAGGACATCCATCCATAGTCTCAATCAAAGGGAGGGTAATGTGGTGTCTATCATCACAGTCATTAGCGCTTAGTGTAAAGTTTTCAGAAGAAAAAAATATCAAAAACAATTTTTGTGATGTTGATTGACTTGTTGGATATTGAACAATATTGCTGTCAAACTACACAAAATACATTTCTATTGAAGTAATAGTAGCCTATAGTCTGTATTCCAAATATTCGTTATTGAATTGAAATAAATATCATTCACAGGAACGCTAAGTTTGTGGCTCTTTCACGCCTCAACAAGTTAACAGATTTGGTTCACATTTATTGAATATTTAATTTTTTTTTATGTCATTTAATGTTTGAGTTTTATAATCACTTCATAGTATAAAACAAAGTCGCTTCCCGCTGCCTGTTCCTATTTATGCTTGGATCTTTAAAATTACGCAACGGATTTTGATGCGGATTTTTTAAATAGATAGAGTGATTCAAAAGGAATGTTTATATGTATATAACATGCATAAATAAGTAGAAAAACACTGAAAATTATAGAGGTTTCTAATGTAATGTCGTAAATAGACATTACATTAGAAACCTCTAGTAGGGTTCCGCCAGCAAACGCTGGCAAATCTAAGGGATACTCCACAATAACCATTTTTTATCCTCAAGAAATAGTTGCTTATTGACGAAGCAATATTAATCCTTATCCAATTAAGTACCTTAAATACATTGTGCATTCAATATAAGTCAATATGGCCCCTTACAGCGTGTAAGTTAAATGAATATTTTCGAAAATATTACAGATTTAAAATGCTAGAACATAGCGGTCGCGGCGGTACTGGCCGACGGCGTAGCCTTTAAATAGCGAAGACCGCGTTTCGCACTGTAGCACTTTATGATTAGCAACGATCTCACGCGTTTATATGTATATTTAGTATCAACATTGCACCCGTGCGGGGCCGGGGTGGTTCGCTGGTATGGATATACAGGCCGTTTCTTTTATCACAGCAACATATTCTAAATCGTAACAGATTCGAAGACGATTAAATGGGAAAAAAGTTAACTGTCAGCGGGAACAATACAATGGTCTTAGAAAATTTACGGGGACTCTCGCCCTTCTCGAGCTATACATGGAAAACCAAAAATGCTGTTTTTGTATCTGTTACGGTCGGTAGCCAGGCGGTTCGACGTGGGTGCTCTGTTCACTCACTCGAATTGACTGGTCAGTGGTTCAAGCCCTAGTCTGAACGATCGATTTTCACCTGCTATCGTCCAACCTGTGATAGGAATCACACGTTAAAAGGTAATACCTCGTTAATCCTTAGCTCGCACAAGTTTCGACTTCTGAGGGTTATCGTTCGTAGGGGTGCGACAGCTGGTTAACGCAAAAACAGATTTTTTTTTTAACAGAATATAGCGATGGTACCACATGATAAAAGAAACGGCCTGTATAGACATGTGATGTTTTTGGGGATGACAATAAACAATAAATAGGAAATGGAAAATTCATTTTATCTCTGATTACAATTATAGTTATGGTATCAATCTTTATTTAAAAATATGTAGATATGTTTCCGAGCGAATAATAAAAATATCTACTGAGGTTATCTTGATGTCATTAGTGTTGTTTTAATTCAGATCTTGTGTGAAATGGATGTTTTTGTTTATCATATAATATTTGCAATAATGTAAAGATTTTACTATGTCCTCTAAGAGATCAATTTTATGGTGTTATCTACTGAAACACTCGTTGACATATGTTAAAGGTTCAATTGTACGCTGTAGGTACAATTAAATTTCAGTAAAACCTGCAGATCCTTTCTGGGTGTTGTGAATAATATCATATACTTTTTCTATGACGATTGAAAAAAGCGTCAATTATGCGTCAATTGCTTGTTGAGTAAGAAGGCAGAATGATACATAACTCACATCTTCAAACCGATCACAGTTGACCCCATACATAACTCATTACCTTCGAGACCAATTGCAGATGATCAAATTCATTACTTTACAGTTGTGATTGTATGCTTTTTCATCGCAAGTAAACCTTAAGAATTTTCTACTTCAAAATATGTTTTCAAATGTCTAACTTAATCATTAAATTGGAATTTTCTTTTGAAATATAGGGTTGCTGACGCAAAACAAAAATAAAAACGGGCAGGAAAGTGAAAACGAGATATAGAGAGATATAGGGGCATATAAAATCAATGAAGTAATTTAGAACCATCCATTATCATTATCAAACCGTAGAGAAACAGGCGTAATAAAAACTATACAATAAAAAATAAGAAAAAATTATCTTGTTTTCATGAAAGCTGATATATCGAATGCCATCGTTATTCTTGAACGAGAAACTTATATCCAGAAAATTGAATCAGTCATTCAAAATGAAACTGAAAAATTTCCTCTCAGATACTAAAATCATTTTCACGGGATCAGAGAAACGAAGAATCACCAACATGAACCCCCTCCTGCCCTAAACTATATATAGCCTGATAAAAACACAAAGAGTATAACCCCGTCAGACCGGTACTTTCATACATAAATAGTCCGGAACAGGAGTCAGGTTTACCAATGAGCAACTTTTAGCAGACTTTATGAACAGCTTGGAGACCACTATAATAAATTCCGACCTGGGTAAAAAACATTCGTTTTTGGTACAGATATGTAGACGATATTCTCGCTTGTTTCAGAATAAATTTGAGTTCAATGTATTCAGAAAACCTAGCTATACAGACATTACCATCCCAAGTGATTCTTTCCATCCAGACAGTCATAATTTAGCAGCCTACAATTCAATATTGCACAGAGCAGTAACTAGGGAAATTAAAATAATTACTCAGATAGGTCATAATGATAGTTTCAACGCAGACAAAATCCAGATGTTAGTCAGAAAACAAAGCCGTAAATTCACTTACAGATTAATATCCCCCAGATCAAACAATCAGAAATCAAGAAATGGGTAACTGACATATTTTGGTAAAAGACCAGATATAATTGCAGTTCTTCAGAAAAAACAATTCCTTCCTGACTTCCTTTTCAATGCCAAAGATGAAGTGGACAAGTTTATAAGCTTAAGTGTCCGGAGTGTAATAGTGTTTATGTGGAACAATGTGGTTGAAATTTCTAAAAACGGTATACTGAACATAAAAGGTTCTTCAGACTAGGTAAAAATGATTTTGACCATAAATCCCAATTATGAACAACTTTTCGGAATCGTATTTTCTTATACTGTCAGAAAAAATATTTTATTCTTAAAATAATTTACTTTTTTGGCCTGCCCTGTATTCTGTTTTACTCGAGGCTGTTTTTATTCAAATTTCGACTGTGAACTGACATAGTTAGAAATTATATTAAAAAATACCTGTGAATATATAGCAGTCATCACACATCTCTCCTCAACATTCTACGGTATTGAACAGATAAAAAAATAATAAAATCGTTGGGCGTAGACTTGGGTGGTGTATCGCTAAGAACGTATCATTTTTAGTCACTCTATATCCAAACAGTCCTTGATATAATACAAAATATTGACTTGGGTTCTTCGTACAGATTATATTGGATTTGCATCTTTTTTATAGTGTACTACTATAGTACTAGTCAAGATCTGTCATTTAATACCCATATTGAGGTAGTTGTGAAATATGTAATCCGGCATTTTGTAGCTGCGACCATATTGAATTTGCATCTTTTTCAAAGTGTACTACTAGTCTACTCGTCAAGCCCTGTTATTTGATACCCATGTTGAGATAGTTGTGAAACAATATATAATCCGCCATTTTGTAGCTGCGACTATCTGGAATTTACAATGATACAGAATTTAATAAATTGTATTGTCAGCAAAACTAAATGTGTGTACCAAATATCAGATCAATCTGTCAACAGGAAGGGGGTCAAAATCAATAACTAAATTTTATCCAAACAAACAAACCGTTTAAAAAAAAGAATGAATGAGTTAATCTGAAACTACTAGTAACTATAGTAACTTTTCTTTATTAGCAAGCATTTCACTATGTGGTGACATACGTGTACATTATTACTACTTTGATAGCTAGAACTGTAAACTCTAATGAGAATACTTTTCTCACACCAGAACTAATGCACTGTATCTCAATTGTTTTGCTAACCAAGTTGAGCATTATCGGGAGATGGCTAAACAACCTTAGTTGAAGAACCCTTTATCGTGGGAGTATCACTTGACAGTGTTACTTGATTACGTTATGGATTTTTATCAAGTATTGGCCATTTCCATCACATAACATTAGTCATCTTCTGATTATGCTAACTCTCAGCCAAACGTGCGTCTAGATACGTTACTTTAGTTCTGGTGTGGGAAAGCGTTTTCATTAGATTGATCTTCAGCTTATTTATTGCAAAGAAAGAACTGTGGAGAATTTTTGAGAAGGAATAATCATTCCCGATACTATTTCCTACATTCTTGGAAATAGATGAGAGAATCATGAGTAGTTAACCTAAGAATGACAGTTTCGAGAATAATCTTGATCTTCACTTTAGAGTAGAAATAGCTTCACTTCATAAGGAAGCACCTTTTCAGGTGTAGAAGAGTAACTTAGTATTTTTTTATTTGAGGATTGTTGAAGATGGCAATATCGTAATCATAACAAACAGGTTAAGCTAGGCTAACAGCACATATGCTGACAACAAATGAATAATGATCTAATATTCCCCCACACTAGACATTACCTTTGTCAATAATTCGTTTATATCCATTACATTTGTGAGGAAGGCAAAGGTCAGATGTTTTGACAAGTCGGTGACGGCATTATTATGCACGTGTTATATATTGTCCTTTCTACTGGCGAAGTTGTAACGCTGTAAGTGGCTCAATTGATGTCGAATACGAGACAACATTCATTTTTCTCTCCATATATTGTTATATTGTATGATGCACATTGTTTTTACTTACAAAATGAATCTCCTCTCTAATAGGGCCCCTAGACTGAACAAGTGGTATATGTTCCATCATTCAGTCATTTCACCTTCATTTCTCCAAACATTAAATTAAGCTATATAAAATATACGAGGTATTTATAACTTGTTGAATTAGTAAGGTAGTTAAAGTACACATTTATTGTAGTTTAATTAGAGACAATCGAGATATTGATTTGATAAAGACATCTCTTTTTCTTCCAGTCAATCAATTTTCATTTCAAGATAGGTCATAATGAAGATTATGAAGAAAAAATTAGGGAATCGACTTATTTGCTATTATATTCCAGTAGGAGAAATAAATACATATTTCAAATGGTATTTAAAATATTTACTGGCTATTACCACAACTGTTGTGGTAAAAGGCGTCATTCTTGCCAAATTTTACCGGGTAGGAAAGCCCTAATTAATTGGATTTTACAATCCTCGTTTTATTTCTGAACTGATGTAAACTCACCAGAGTTTTAGATTTAATTTTTTAGTGGTAGTATTCTTTGCTACTGGTCTACAATATGTCTTCTTTTTTTTAGGTTTATTTTATTTATGGACTACATGTATAAATGCAGGACCTTTGAATTATGAAGGTCCTTCCAGTCAGCCAGAAGCTTATTTCAATGGATCCTCATATTTGAGACTTCAAAATACAATTTCATTGAAAAGGCGAACCGCACTGAGCTTCAGAACATGTTACGGTAATTGTACTCTTTATTTTCTACATTGACAATGAATTAATGTTAACACAGAACTTCTTATTTTCAAATTTAGGAGATATCACTTTTTGTGACAGAGAACCTATTTTCGTCTTTATTTTTCAATTATTAGCACATTCTAATTTTATAAAGAGATCTCTTATGCATACCTATTCGGTTAATATGCCAGTACTCTAAAAACCAGCTGCTCTCTTTGGGAACTTGAAGAATTTTTAGATATTAGGTTTAGTCATTGTTATATGAGAAATGAAACAAAAATTCTTCAAGGTAAAAACCGAAATGACCTCATGTGTTTTCATGTTTCAGCATTGGTAATATTCAGGATGGATATCCCAGAATAGAGCATTGACAAAAAAATTTTAGGGTAATGGAGATGTCAAAATTAATTCCTTATTATATTGTATATTTAAAAATTTTGAAAGTTCGTAAAAATTCTATTAACATGAATTTTAATAATTTCAAGGTGGCGTTTTATTTTCCCAACCACAAAATGAAGATTTAATAGAACTTTCGGTGAACCCAGAAGGGATCACTTTCCTTGCTAAGACTTCTGGAAAAATATTCGAACATAAAGTTCTCGGAAGCTTTTTGAACAACAGGTGGCACGTTGTCTATCTACAGTATAAACTTGGCAATTTGACTCTTGACGTAGATGGAGAAACACAGGTATCTAGTACTACAGTCTCAATTTTGTCAATTATTCATTGTGAAATTTCTAGTTGATTGCAAATGCAAGTTATCGAAATGAGTTACTGGTTAGCCCTGGTTTATATAATGATGGTGCTGCGGTCCTTCTCATTGGAAAACAATTCAATGGATGTCTTATGGAAGGACCTTCAATAGTTTTTGAACCCAGGTTTATAACATCTAATCACAATGTTGTTTTCGGACCCTGTCCTATACCATATGATAGCTGTGAGTTTTTCATGTGGGGTGTTCATATGTCACGTTGATACTAATTTTGAATTTTAGGTGTTCCCAAAGAGAAAATAATAGGTTATGACTATTGTGTAACAGAACCCTGTATGAGACATGGTACTTGTCTCAGCGGACAGAATACTTATACATGTGCCTGTCTGCCTCGATACACTGGAAAAAACTGTGAAATAGACTTAGGAAACCCATGTGATAGAAAACCGCCGTTATGCAAAAACTCTGGAACTTGTGTGGCTGATGCGGTAGGAGACTTCACTTGTGTTTGCACTCCCCATTTCACTGGTTTACGCTGCGAACACGAAATCAAAATTCCTCCCAAGTGCAAAAATAGTCCCTGTTTGAATGGTGGAATATGTGATGTTGATGCAGAAACTCAAGAAGTTGTGTGTCATTGTAAACCAGGATACGAAGGTGATAATTGCCAAATCAACATAGACGAATGCAATCCGAATCCGTGTTTAAATGGAGGTTTGTGTGCTGACGGTTTCAATAATTTCACCTGTGACTGCAGCCATACTGGATACAAAGGAAACATTTGCGAAATTAACATTAACGAATGTGTTGTGAATCCATGTTCGAATCAAGGGACTTGCTTTGATAACTATGGGTCTTACTGGTGCGACTGTTTGCCAGGGTTTGGAGGACATAACTGTCAAATTGTAAGTATTATATAGTAAGTATATATAAATCAAGACATATACAGAGTCCCAAGTAAAAGTTTTTTTGAGGAGGAAATTACAGTTTTTGTAATTTCTGGGAATTTTCACCTACAATCTGAAAAAAAATGTTATGGAAAACTTTATATGGGTATAAAAAGGGAAACTTCTCGTTCACCCCGAATATTACCTTCATGAATTCAATGTATTTTTCACAAAGACAAATACGCTTTTTTTCAGTAACTTGTTATATTCGATAAGTTCACATTTAACAAAAAAGTATTAGGAAATGGTACAACAGATTTTAACGTTTCTAACGCTAAAATATGCTTCCATCTTTAGATTTGAAAACGTCAAATATATCTTGCAAGTTGACTTGAATGAAACGAATCGAAGAAAGGAAAACTGCAAGTTATATTTGATTTTTCACTTCTCAAGACGGAGTTCGGTCTCTGAAACGTTAAGATAAGTATGTATACAATTTCTTGGCTCTTGTTTTGATAGAACGATATACTGATAAATGGTGCATATTCCTTTGTGAAAAGAACATTTTAAATTTTGTTACAATTTGAAACAAAGTGTAACACCAAAAACTGAAAGGCTAGAAACATAACAATTTATCCATCTCAATTGTTATAAGGAAAATATTACAAGATTAACTTGTATTGGAAGAAAGTGATGAAATGTGAAGTATCAAAGCTGTTTTTTATGACGTTCGAAGAATACTAGAATTATGTAACCTTTTTTAGTTTGGTTAGTAGGCAAATAATTCATAACCCACACTTTTGAACCTATCACAGTTGACCAGATACATAACTCACTTTTTTCAAAACCAATCACAGATGAACAAATTCATTACTTCAGAATTATGTTCAAAATGTTTTCATTTTAAAGTGAGCCTTGAATATTTACTTTCTTCAAAATATATCCTCAAACATCAAACTTATTCACTGAACAGACAATTTGTTTCAAAATATATAGTTTCTAATGAAAAACAAGAATAAAAACGATTTTATTTCAAAGAATATCACAATATGTCACAAATATGACATAAAACATCAACAATCGGCAGATGTGAAGAGTTACTGTTTCTAGGGTAGATTCAATGGCAAATATTCATTGATTGGATATGGTTCATTTTCTAGAAATAGTTTTGAAAGTTTCTTTTTGTTGTTTCTTGCATCGTCTCTAGGTTCCTCAAAATTTGTCCTGTTTGTTGTGAAAAGCATTATGTTAGTTTCGTCTTTATTTAGAGTCAACTTGTTCGTGTTTCAAATTATCAATCACTTCTAGAAAACTTTCATTTTTCATTAGACTGCACTTTACTAAGTCAGTATTTGGAAGAATATCATCAACATCTAATGAAGAGAATTGGTTCGGTTATTCTTTCTTGGGATACTCTAGTATCCCAAGATAATGATGAAGTTGATGATGATAATGATGAAGATGAGTTGATAATGATATATGTTATTGTTCTACAGCGTGTACAATGTATTTCTTGATTATATTTATGGGAATGTTGGGAATATTTCCACTACGTTCATAACTTCAAGGAAGTTTCCATTATTATAAAGCTAAAGTGTATATCTCCTAGGACACTTGGCCAAAATGCCAAATTGTACAATTCTTTCTTTTTACTGAATGTTGCAGTTGCCATCATAAATTAGTATCTGCCCATTTCTGATAGCATTTCAGTTACATGACAATTTTCAGTCGTGGCTTACTTTTTCACCTGATATAATTTTATCAATAACCTTATTTCAGCATCTACAAAATTACTAATTGAATCTTCATTTTTTGTGTCTAGTTTTTTATTTTGGGTTTTCTCCACCATATATCACTAAGGAGTTTCCATGATTGAGTTTTGGTGTTTAGTATGTTGAATCAATGATATCTTCCCTTTTAAAGACACCATCTGTGGTTCTAGAATAAACAGATTTTAAACAGAACCTTAAGAAATGCTTGTTATGTCATACATACTGGATATTTGTTTATTATTACTTTTATAGCATTCTGGCTAGTACTATTTTCCTTCTCAGGCAGCTTATAAATGTTATTGATACTCCAACCCTAAAACTGTAATTGTGTATATTTTTCTCTGTTTCATACAAAATTAACCTATGAGGTTATGGTTATTCTATAGGAAAATTCTCCTCACTCCATAACAATTTTTCATCAACAGAAGAAAGCACTCAGAATATTGGCTAATGCATCATAAAGAGAACCCTCATTTATTGCACATGATATAATGTCTTTGTACACTCATTATTTTTAATATGTTACATATTGTCCACAAATATTCTGATAAATTCAGGACTCTTTCTATTCCCTTGAAATATCAACATGCCAATATCGACGAATTATCTTTTTAATAAATACACGTGTGTTTCTTTCACTCATTATTCGTATATATTCATCCTCTACTCTCTACTCACTCTGACCTGCTATATATGTAATGATATTACTTGGGGCAGTAAATAAAGAATTGTTATTGTAATAGTATGGAGACTAAGAGTAAAAGAAGAATGGCTTTTGCTTTATCTATTATTTCTAAACAAATATTCAATGCAAAATATGTTCATAGGGTATAGAGTCAGTAATCAAAAGGCATTTTTTTTTAATTTCAGGTCGTAGATGAATGCATATCTCAACCATGTTTCAACAATGGCGTATGTGTCAGTCGAGCTGGAACATATGAATGCCACTGTCTCCCTGGCTTCTTAGGTGATAATTGCGAGGTGGAACAAGGGCAAAGACAATGTGATGCTAACACTTGCCCACCTTATGCAAACTGTAGGGAAATAGGAGGTGGCTTATCCTGTGTCTGTAAACCTGAGTACCCTGGAGAATATCCAGATTGTAATAATTCCATTTGTACCAATAATCCGTGTTTGAATGGCGGTATTTGCAGTTTGTATAAGGGCTACTTCAATTGTACTTGTCCACCAGGGTTCGCAGGTAAGTTTTTCACAAATATTTTGCATCTATTTGGGTAATAAATGAATGTTTGTATTCGCCCTGGATAAATAGGAACAGATAAAGTATTTGAGGTCTTGAATTATTTACAAATTTCTATAAATCCATCTCTGTTTGTTCTGATTCTTTAAAGTGTGGAATACCTGTTATGCATTGGCATTCATATTTTTATTGGTATTTCATCTAAAATACTAAAATATTCCAAAGACCCATATGGTTCTTAATGTTTTCATTAATTTTGCATTATTGTTATGTCTCATTACAAATTGAGAGCAGTTAATGTCCTTTTCACTTTGTTTGCCACTTGTATACTGTTTTAATTAATATTTGTAGAATATAAGTTCCACTGACAGTGAATACTAATACCATTTAGAAAATGATGATTAATGCTATAACGAGGGATGTTTTTAAAGTAAGTACCGTTTTGCAATAAAGAAACATCAAGTGAACATTTTTCAAAAAATACAGTTATCAATTTGTATGCATCGATATCATTCTTAAGCTGTCTGAGAATAAAAATAGAACCAGGGAGTTTTTTCCTCGGTGGCATTTTAGGATGCCAACATAATCTTTCATCCGATGTAATGCCGAATAACTTTATGGTAATCCCAATATAATTCGAGTTATTTGTAGATATTACAATTTTTTGTGATTTACTAGAATTTAATTTGTATGAAGTGGTCCAATTGTTTACAGCTAAATAGCAAAAGGTCGCCCGCTGCGTCCCCCATCATGAATGTTTGTACGGCGATCTGTAAAGTTCCTAACCCATTTACCATCTACCCCGGTTATATTTGGAATGTGCCGTTTTGTGGAACAGTTTGTTCACCTACCTTCCTACTGTTTGACGAAAGACGGGAGAGTAGATAAAAATTCCAAGAATGGCCAAAAAGTTTCAATCAACACTGACATCCCATTCGGTCCGACTTGGATTTATAAAATGTTGCATAACATGCGGACTGACTGGATCGATGGTAGACAACAAGATGCAGAAGAGTTTCTAGGTTTTCTTTTGAATGGACTCAATGATGAAATGTTTGAGCTGAATGAGTTGGTTAAAAATTATATTAAAGATGAAAAACCTCTCGTTGACTCTGCTTTGAGCAATGTTTCAAATAATTTATGGAACATAATAGAATCGAAAAATAAAGGACATTCAACCAGAAGGATCGACTTCACCAATACACCGATAAGTGACATCTTCGGGGGCAACAAAAGTCGAGCATTCATCGCAACGTGGACCACATTACTGAGAATACCCAGCCTTTCCCCACCCTGCCACTCAACATTGAGAAAGTGAAGACCGTCAGAGAAGCGCTTAAGGTACTTGTCTCCAAGAACATTTTAGAGGGAGTGACTTCGTCGAAAACAAACGAGAAGGTCGAAGCATGGGAGCAAATTACGCTCTGCAAACTTCCCGTTATCCTTATTTTGCATCTGAAGTTTTTCAAATACAGTAACTACCGTTGCACGAAGATTATCAAGGCTTTTGATTTTGAATTCGACTTGAAGTTTGATTCGACTTTGATATCGTCGGAAACACAGTCTCCAACAGAGAGACAATACAAGCTATTCGCCGTCGTTTACCATGAAGGCAAAAATGCCAACATTGGACACTACGTGACTGATGCCTTCCACGTCGGCTACAATTGCTGGATTAGGTACGACGATTCTTCGGTCAAGACCGTGCAAAATGAAGACGTATTGAAACCCCAGGGAACAAGAGTTCCTTATTTGCTGTTCTACAGGAAAAGCGATATTTTCCTATCTAAATAAGGTTGCGTAGAGTTACGTAGAGTTCAGCGTCTGGAATCTTACAGAATTTCTCGTTTAAATTTTTATTGAAATTGATATTTTTTTTGGTTTTAATGAGTTATTTTATTCTTTCATTAGTGATAGGTATTTTTTAATTTTTAATGTTAATATGTATATTTGATTTCGTTGGAACTAAAATATAAAATATTTACGCACCATTCCATCACTTATAATATTTTCAACATAAACTTCACTGATATGTTGATAAATTTCAACTGCTTTCTAACCTTTAGCACTAAAAAACCCAGTAACAGCACGCACTTTAAAGTCGCCGGGAAACAAATCTAAACACAGAAAAATGGTTCCGTAATGGCGTATGTGGCTTTCTCAGAGTTTTGGGTATACGGTCCACATGTGATGAACACCGTTTAGAAGCGCTGCGGGGGCGTAATTTGAAAACGGTACTTACTTTAACAACATGCCTCGTACTTTGGCTAAAATAAAAATATAGTTTTCATTACGGTGATTTAGGATTTCTAAAATGTTTTTCTAGTGATTATGAGGCATGTACTTTGAGGGACTCACAATCACACTCTTAAGACATTTTTCAATTTATGACTCCAATATTTCTAAGTATTCAATACAGTTAGCCTTCCAAAATTATTATTCTGTTAGTAACATTTGAATAATTTTAATTCTTTACACACCATACCTGAAATATCCATTAATTAATATCTTCATATATTTTTACTACAAGATGAGATTAATATATGTGATTTATTACTCATTAATATAAGTTAACTGAATCTTTCTAATCATGATGCTTTTGTCTTGCATGCTGCTTACTAACTAAAGGCCTTGTTTGTGAAAGGGTTATTAGGTACATGCTGAATGGTTATAAAATCAGCCGCTTTTTTGTTATATATTTTGGCCGATTATTTCGTATGTGTGTTAATGGCTGGATTGGTCCCATTTGTGATATCTGGTTCTGCTGTATTGATAGTCCTTGTCAGCATGCTCTGGTTTGTCGAGATTGTGTGAGTATGCACACATGGTTTTTTAGGAATAGAAAACTTATGAGGATAGAAAGTAGTTTCAGCTGCAATCCTGCAATGAAAAGTTTTTTTTTTCAAAGATTTTACTTTTTTCTAGAAGTGGTATATTGATGTTATTCTTTCTGGAAGAAATTAAATTAACATATGTGGTGTTCACCGAAAAAAGGTACATAGGGTACAAAAACAAGTTTTCGAGAAAAACACTTTCGAAGTTTCACGGTGTATTACTACTATGTACTTGCCTTCAGTGGGGCAGGTCTTGATATCATCGGTCTGGGTATCTGTGACGTCATTCCTTCAATCTGTAATATTTATTCTCGTTGTAGATTGGCGGTAGCTTCAGTTATCGAGTCTGCGAATGGGCTATAATGCAGCTAATTTTTCTTATCACCACAAATGGTTTTTTTTCAATTTCATAATTTTTGTGAGAATTTATTCTTGAATTAATAATTTTCATAAATTCTATTTTGTTAAAATAAACGCGAGTGACGATTTTAAAAAGAATCCAGAGGTTTTCAATGAAGGTTTCAAATGGTTGATGGAATATATGTTGCGGTATGTAATGAAGATAAATCTTCTGCAAGTTCTGGTTTAAATATTACATCAGAAAATTGTGAAACGGAGTATGCTGAGTTTGAGGAGAATTTTAATGATACACAACTGAATGGTGCTTGTTGTTCAAAACAATGTGATAAAAAGATAATATCGGTTTTCATCGTTATTTTTGCTTTTGTATGTTATTACTTTTGTTGATGAATAAAGTCGATTATTATTAGATATGGCTGTCGAAAGTCGTAGATACGGCCATGAAATGATTAAGGTTAGTCAAGACTTAGTATTTTTGAGTCATCTGCATGGAAGAAATTTACGAAGGTCAGGTTCGAAAAAAAATATGGTCATAGAGTGGAAACAGATAAGTCATGAAGATCTGATACATTTTATTTATTTCGAGGAGCTTACAATTGCAAAAAATGTTTTTGTTCGTGCATGATATTGATGATATACGGCAAAGACATCTCACTCAGCGTTATGATAACATTTGACTTTCAGAATGAACTCATGGATTAGCTATGTAGTTTGTTTTAATGAGTATGTTGATTTGTTTTAATGAGTATGTCTTCGTATTTTTTATTTCTCAATTCATGACCACCATTGATTGTGGAATCTTAAGATGTATATAGCCTGATTTTAATTGCGCCACTTGTTTTGACATGTCTATAAACCTTGTGTTTCTCAGAAAAGATCCCAGATCTGCTAGAAATTAGTAGTATTATTCCAATTCCTAAGGTAAATAAAACTATCAGAGCTGAGGAATTTAGGTCTATTAATACGTTGCCGCCCATTGAGAAAGTACTTGAGTATGCTGTTTACAATCAATTGCTAAACTTTGTGAATGAAAATGAGATTCTGTTTGATAATCAGTCAGGATTTTGAAAAAAGTGCTCTTGTGAATCGGCATTACAGAGGTCACTTAACTATTTGATAAACGAATTAGAAAACAAGTTTGTAGTAGCGGTATTTTTAGATTTGAAGAGAGCTTTCGAAACAATTGACAGAAATATAATCCTCAGCAAAATGAAAATATACGGAATTGAGGACAAAGGGTATGAATGGTTTTATAACTATCTTGAAGGCAGAAAACAAAGAGTAAGAATCAATGGTACAAATATTAAACGATAAAGGAGTACCCCAGGGAAGTATTATGGGCCCCTTACTATTCATTTTATATTTAACTCATGTGAATGATATCTGATTTTTATTCCACAACGAATGTTTGAAATACAAACTGAGTAGAGAAAAGTATCTTCTGTATAATTCAGTGTTCATATAGAAGTATTTATTTCGAAAGAATTTTTTTCTTTCGTGTAATGTGCGATATATGTCAACGAAATTCAGTTATGCTTCAACAAGTCTTTTCTGAAATAAACACTGAAGGAAAACAAGAAAAATAGGAAATCGCATTGGCTCATTTGAATCGCACAAAGGCTCAGCTGCAGTTCTATCAAAACTGTTGTAAAATTGATGATACTGCAACAGCCTCTCATCTTGTACTAAGTTTTGATTATGCCCAAAATGTACCCTACCCCCGAAGTCCGCAACAAGTAGAATCCTCCTATTTTGAATCATCCAAAAAGTGTTTGTTGTTTGGAATTCACGATGAAACTACGAAGATACAAACAAATTATTTACTTCCTGAAGCGTTCAATGTCGGAGAAGTCCCTAGAGCAGTAATCAGCCAACTACATCATTATTCCGAAACGCATCCTGCAGAAAATCCAACGTTTATTGTGACACTTGCGTCGCACAAATAAAATATAACTGCATGGTTCATTATTCATCATGGATAGTGAGCTCGGGAATAAATAAATCAATTCAAGTCAAAACTTATTTTTTGACACACTATGTACCTTTTTTTTGGAGAACACCACATATTTGTTTCATAAGTTTTCTATTGAAAGCAACACATGCTTTTACATGTTCGACATTTTCTTTCACTTTTTGCTACACAGACTTATTGAGTCACTTGATTCACAGCTGGGGGGCTACTTCTGCACTTGCGAACTGGATTGGACTGGTGTCAACTGTGACATCAAATTGGGACTTTGTTCTAGCGATCCATGTCTAAACTCTGGTAGTTCTGTAGATCACAGGGGGTATTATTCTTGCCTCTGCACTTCTGGGTTTCAAGGTAGTAGAGAATTTGGTGTATTTTTTGTTTAGTTGCATGTCTCTCACATTAATTTAGGAGTAATTATTTTTATTTAATTAATAGTAACTCTGTTCTGTAGTTTGTGAGCAATTAACATTCTCTGTAGAATAGAGTGGAATATTTTTTTACAAACTAATGAAAATTTAGTTTTTCTTATGGTGCCACTGAATATAACTGTCTTGTAAATGAATGCAAAAATGTTACTTTCAGTTTACGGGTATATTAGTCCATTTTTTTTAGTTCTTTTCTATTGTATTTCATTTTAGCATCCTGACGAAGTCTCTATTCAGAGACGAAAGCCTGGCGATTTGCGAAATAGAGTTAAGTTTGTTTTTGAACGTGTTCGACTGAAAGTCCCGTTAGTTCCTACCTTCGATATATTCTACTACAAGTTTACGCCTCACAACAAGTATATGTGTATTTCTAAAATGAACGTCCAGCCTCATTGCGTTTTTCCATCAGATATTTTTTTAATAACTTTTTGAAGAAGTCAATAGAAATCATATCCTTCAATCCTGAAACAGCCAAGCATCAATACAAAGCTTCTAATTTTGATGAAATGATACTTGAGAAATTTGCCTGTAAACCAGCATCTGTGTAGATTCTTCAATTTGCCATACAAAAAGAAGTGTTACCTCTTTCGTCATGTTGAATGATTCAAAATCTTATCCGACTATCAGTTCTACAACCAAAGCTCAACAGGTGACCTTTCATATGTCAAACATCTTTGAAATATTTTTACGACAAAAGAACGAAAGTCTGTAGCTGTTGTGTTCAATATTTTCAACATATTTCACGTGAGAGTTCGCTAACTAAACTGGGTTTTTATGGTTTACGTGGTGGTTTTTGTTCTTTCTCTATCCAATCTCTCTCTCTCTCTCTAATACTTTTATATTAATCCTATTTTTCCCATTCATCCACATTGTCTAACACTTCTTGCTTTTCTACGTCAACGACCTGTTGGAAAAGAAGAAAAATCCAATGTTTCCTATCGAAAACACTTCTCCCTCATCAGAACAGAATTGCATATCTTCATCTCCTAATGATGCTAACTTGGTTAATGAAACCCACCTAGAGACAGCAATTTTGTTCTGGTGTAGGGAAAGTTTTCAATAGATTCATTTCAAGCCAGAGGTTTCAAATTCTACTCATCAAATCTAATGTTTCATCTGTGCATCTTCACTAATAACAACAAATAGAATAGAATAGAAACAAATAGAAAATAAGTAGAATTAAATGCTAAGATGTGAAAAAGACAAATGTGATAGAACCTGGCATAGTGATGTCAACACAGAATTCCGTTGAATGAGTCAATTGTCAAATTTGATAGCAATATATCACTCAATCAAGATCAAATGATTAAATTAGACGTTTTTTAGGAATATTTCACACATTTGTAGAACTCTCTGCCCCCAAGAATGCTCCGAGGCTATTAGTTTTCATCAAGAAAAAGTTTTGCACCTATTTATAAACGTAAAAATTACAAACAATCTTGATAATCTGGTTTTTTCCTAATTATTATTTATTGTAATGAAGTATCAACTCTCTAAATCCTGTTCGACACTTTTTAAGAACTCTTTGATTTTGAGAATGACACCACTGTAAAATTTTTTTTCCCAAAAGAATGTGAACTACAGTTGTCAGGATTTTCTTGCAGTGCTTTGTTCATTTTCATAAAATGAAACACTATGTAAGTAGACCTTTATTGAATAAGATATTTTAATGATTTATGACGAACTCGGTCAATAATATCCCAGAAAACCTACAAAACCATTAGGATTTGTATTTGAACAACTTACATCACACCCATTCATCAAATTCATAGTCATATCAAAAAATTTAGTGTTCTCAAATACATTGTGCAAGATTTACAAACAGAATATTGTTTCTGTAACCGCTGGCTTCCAACTTTAAAACAACATTTAATCTGAATTTTCCTTAAATTTTTGGTGTTTCTATGTAAATTTCTGATTCAGATGCTAAATCTCATAAATATTATCTGAACTATGACTCATCATTGCTGTCCAATACTAATTCATACTTGTGTTTCTACTTGTAAGGTCAACTGTGTGAAACAAATATCGACGAATGTGCATCAAGTCCTTGCCTGAATGGAGGAATTTGCTTCGACAGAATAAATGGTTTTTACTGTAATTGTACGGAACAGTGGATGGGCTTAACATGCGACAGACCTTACGACATATGTGAACTGAATCCTTGCAAAAACAACGCCACATGCATATCCGCTCCTAATAAAAAGTATTTCACTTGTCACTGCTTATCTGGATTCGAAGGAGAGACTTGTGAGGTTAACATTGACGACTGCTTGGGTAACAAGGTATATACAATTGTTTAATTTAATTTTTGAATCGAAACATTATTCTTCAATAGAGATGTTTCATTTGACTGCTTCTATCGAATTTTCCATATTTTATTTATTTACTTCCTACATTCACAGATGTTCAGGAGCTTTTCATATTTATCTTCAAATACAAACAACTTTTGTTGAGACTCTTTCAATGAACATAAGTCTGTATGCCAAATTTTCAATACCAATGATAATAAATAAATCATTCATTCAAATATGCATGTTATATATTCGCTACGATACAACACGCATGATAATGTACATTAAAATTTTACATGGTTGTAATTATAGTGACAATAAATATTTGTTTTTAATATAGTTGAAAGCAACAACTAGATACTCATAATAAGACATCTTTCGACAATTTTTATTTTAAACGATTTATCAGTCCGTGTTGAAGTGTTCGTAAAGATGTACCTATATTGATTGACTATTTGCTGGAAGACATAATTTATAAATATGTCTTGTGGGATAATTGTAGATCTCATGTTAGAAAAGCAATAAAGTGGTTGAAATAAAGAGGTGCTAATGCAGACAATATTTATCTGCAATAAAGTTATGCAATCTGCAAAAATAGTAGACTAGGACATTAATTAAAGTGAGGAAGTATATTTACTTTAAAGACTGTAACAGATGTTTGAAAGTTAAGATGACAGATGACTTACGAAAAAATTTTTTTTATCTATCTGGTTACTGATATATTGAAAACAAACTCCCAGTCATATTGAAAAATAAAGTTATCCATACTTGAATTCATTATTATTGGCATTATATATACAATCTACTTCATCTGAAGCAGATTGTATAAGGTAGGAAGGTAGCCAGTCGGGTTGACGTGGGTGGTTTGCTCTCAATCAACCGCTGTATGAACCGGTGGTTCGATCCGCAAGGCCCAGACGATCGATTTTCACTTCCTATCGTCCACCCCATGTTAGGAATCACACGTTAAAAGATAATACCTCGTTATTCCTTAGCTCGTGATAATTGTCGTTCGTAGGGGAGCGACAGCTGGTTAACGGAAAAACAGTTTTTAAACAGATTGAATCTAAGTGACTTGACGTATTAATGACACTCCTATCTGTTCTAGTGTCCACGAGGACAAGTATGCGTTGATTTGATCAATGATTATGAGTGCCGATGCCCTCCTGGCTATATTGGAGATGATTGTAGTGTCGAATTGGACCCCTGTGTGAGAGAGCCTTGCATCAATGGCACTTGTGTTGTGGATAAGATTACTCATCGTTTCAGTTGCAATTGCCAAGCGGGATACACAGGTGAGTAAATCAGTAGTTTTTAGTGAAGAATATCTCTTTCTGTACATAGAGTAGGCTCTTATTGCCAAAGATAAGAAAAGAAAAAACATTAACTACAGGATAAAAATGACAAAGATAGATGGTTGAACGGTCTGAAGTAAAAATCAACACATTAAAAGTTAAATTCGAAATTGATTTATTTATTGCTGTGAAATTCTGTACAATTATGAATAGTATACAAGTTTGTTAAACTAATCAATACATATTTTGTCTAGTTCAAAGTTTTACATGGTCCTGGGGATTTATTCGCTATTATTTGAAGATCTTGATTCATCTAAGAATATTAACTCGTAAGAATGTGTTGACTACACAAGCCCGAAATAAGCAATCTTCAGTACGCTTTTCGAGATAATATTTTTCAACTATATCACAAAAGCTACTTAGGGTTTTAGTTTCCAATTCTCACCATTTGTTTATTAGCTAAGATTTGAATTCCTAATCGATATAATTTTTCAAGTAAAACAGTATTGTCAATGTTTGTTTGAAGGTGGTTGACAATGTTTCGTGGTTAATTTCATCAGTTCAGACATCCATTGTCTAATATAATATAAACAACATATACGCGGCTTCTTTGAATCTTCCCCTAAACCAGTGTTCCTCCTTGTGGATGATTTCAGCTTGAGCTTACTTGATGTTATGTTGATGAGTCCGGTAAATGCAATTCTTGGAATCGCAGTCCGCGTTTGGTGGCCTGGTTTTCGTGAGGCTGCTACAGATAATGTTCCCAGATCTGAAGCAGGTCCTGATGTTATACTTGGACCCAATCTTTTCATATAATACTCTGATGTAGGGAAGTACAAGTACTGGTTGTGGCGGCTCCTCTTCCTTCTGGAGCTCTTGCTGTCTTCTAGCTAAAGCCTGTTCTACCATCACTCTGGAGTAACCATTCCGTTGAAGGTCATTTTTGATGATTTATATTATATTAGACAATGGAAATCCAAACTGATGAAATTAAATATTGTCAATAGTATCAAAAGCCTGTGTAAGATGAAAGAAATAGTTGATGGCAAGCACGATCTACACGTCTTTGTGAAGATTTTTTTATTTTTCATAATTGTTCCATATTTTTGTATAATGATGGAGAAGTAGAACACCAAAAAGCTTTTTCCCAGTTATATACTGTGGCCATTTTAAATGGATCTACCCACACCTCTAGATTCACATACTTTCGAAATGGTTTATGTCAAAATTACGTTCAAATGTGTTCTTCATCAAAAAATTTCATAATCAAATAAAATTTGAAAAATATGTGATTCAATTATCTTACCAGTAAAACAGTTCTCCACTGGATTCAGCAGGTTTTGTTTTATCACTGTCTAGAACTTTATCAAATTCTATCCATCATTAGCAAAGTTATGAGTAAAGACATATTATTAAAAGACATTGCACAATATATTTTCCAAACGTTCATTGCTTATAATTTTGAATTATGAACAGATTTCAATTAAATACTGAACTATAATGAACCAAAACCTGCTGAACTAAGAACTTTGATGAAAGTTCTAATGTTGTGTAACTAGTCTCAAGCCCCAGTTGAAAAGGGGAAGAAAAAAATGTTACAAGGTTTGTCTCAGGGACCGACACTCAAAATCCTTGCTTGCTCGCGGCTACGCTCGAAGTGGAGATGGTCGTGGGTATACTAAAGGTGAGCGTTTAGGTTATTAAGACAACAAGTCCCTTACCTTACGGGGGCGCCACCTAGTTTCCTTCCGCAGCAGGTTCTATCTTAGCTTCTTTCTAAAGAACTAGGAAATCAGAAAAGGAAAAGCCAATTCCCAAAAATATAACCCTGTATATTCAAATAAAATTTCAAGGGACAAACCAGTACAGTTAAGAACAAAAAAAAGTTTCAATTGTTCATGTTGTGCCACATCGCAACGTTTACACAAATGAGTCACGTGTATCTACAGTTGAATTACAACGAATAAAAGAGTCTATATAGGGCAACTAAAAATGAATTTAAAGGTTGTTTATTCCTCTCGATACCTAATGCATTAATATATGAAACTGAACGTTTGAAACTATCTATATACAATAGAAAAAAAATACTGCAGGGGAAATTATACCATAAGGAAAGTAAAACCTTGATGGAGACACCAGATTATGAGCGAACGACGGCGAATGGATCCATTAGCAGTGGTTTGCTTCTGCAAAATTGTATGCTTTTAGTAGTTCTTTGCTTTCCGCAGATATTTCACAAATTCATATTAATTATACCTACAACTCAGTTTTACGTCCTTGACAAGACAAGAAATGAACTATAGTTTCAGGGTGACGGCCCCTTTTTTAAAACAAAACATATATATCTGATGAAAAAAATAATGAACTATAATGTCAGGGTGATAGCCCCTCAAAAATATATATCTAATAAATAGACCAAAATAGGAGTATATTTCTCTTGTGTTCAAACACTTATCTGAATCCGGATGGACTTGTGGTCTTAAAGGGGGGTCTGGAACAGGAATAGCTGGATCTTAGATCGGCAGTCTCCCAAATGAAGCTTGGACTGAAAACATCATGCACGACTTTCAGAAAAGTATCCCTGCCCTCCAACTAGACCTCGGCACTTGGACTCAGTCTCTATAAAAGGGATATGGTCCTCCAAAAGAGCTTCCGAAGCAAATCCGAGCTCCAAACGATGTATTTCGGACCTGAACCTTTGCACAAAGGTTCCTCTCTAATAAACCAGGAGTGGTAAAACGATAAAAAAGGTATGTCAGAAGCTGTAATCCTCTGATCGGGTGCTGAGTGAGCAATTTGCCCAAAATTCCAAAACAATCAAACGACGTCTTCCTCGACGCCTCACTCAGACTATAACGCAGCAATAAATCCAGATAATTCCCAACATAGGATGGCTTTAGAAACCTGCAGATATCTTTGGATATGAAATATTGCGTAACGACTTCAGTTGTTCACGCTGACGGATCTTCTCCAACCTCCTCTCACCAACTCTCTCCAAAGACTGTCTCCTAACCGGAAACCTCCCACTTCCCAAGTCCGTTTCGTGACACCTTGGGTAGTGTTACCAACGGATCTCTTTCGTACTACTCATAGAGGTGCGTTTTCTTTACAAATACCAAAAGTCACTTGAACCCAAACAACATAAATTTCGACTATATCCTAACGAAGCAAATAAAGCAACATCCTTACAACAGTAACATAGTCTAAATACAATCTAACTCCGGTCATAACCAAGATTTTCCAAAAAAAACCATCAGTTTGTATCACTGTGGGCAAACTGCCAACGTTCGGTAATTATTTAGTTTTTATGCCACTCGAATTGACTTCGTATATACGCTATACGTTACGCTAATATAAATATTAGTGAGATAACAGCAACCACGTTCTTTAATTTATGCAAAGCATTTGATTGTGTAAATCATGAGGTACTATAACATTCCAGATGGAGTTGATATTACTGATGGAATGGCGATGTCACATGATGTTAAATTTCTAGGAACCATGTTAGATGAATCTTTAAATTGGGATTTACATATTGATGGGGTTTTCAAGAAACTAAATGCAGCATTCTTCGCGATTAAGCGAATGAAATTGCTTGTAGATAAAAAAAATCTCTTAAGTATATATTTTGCAATGGCATATCCGCATATTTCCTTGAATATAATGTCATGGGGATATGATACTTTTCAATTAATACAATACTTCAAAGTATTTTTATTTATTCGTTTATTTCAGGCACCACATGCAACATAGATATTGATGAATGTACAGCTTCTGGAAACACCATCTGCAACCATGGTATTTGCGTAAATTCCGATGGTAGCTTTCAATGTTACTGTAAACCTGGTTTCACTGGAGAACGCTGCAATCAAGACTTTGATGAGTGTCTCTCAATGCCCTGTAAAAACAATGCAACATGCATCAACCTGATAAACAACTACAGCTGTAAGTGCCCGCCAGGTTACGAAGGTAAAGATTGTTCCCTGAACATTGACGAGTGTGATCCTATGCCTTGTATGAACGGTGGTACTTGCGTGGATGGTATCAACGAATTTATGTGTGTCTGTCAAGAAGGGTTAACAGGAAAGAGATGCGAACATAACATCGATGACTGCGAATCGTCACCTTGTCAGCATGGGGCTCTCTGCATTGATGGATTGAATAGTTATACTTGCGACTGCACCGAAACTGGTTACGAAGGATTTCATTGTGAGAATAACATCGATGATTGCAAAGGAAATCCGTGCTTGAATGCGGTTGGTTGCATTGATCGAATTAAAGATTATGAATGTGATTGCTATAAAGGATATACAGGTAAGAATATTCACCTTACCTCATTTTTTTCAGTCTGTAAAATTTTTGGGTGTATAATTTTCCACAATCAGAAAAATGAACAAAGGTATATAAATGGAGTTGTAATAAAGGGCAAACTGAAAAGTTCACCCCGAATAGTTACTGCGTAATATAAACCACTGAAGAGTCCAGTTAGTCAGTAACTTGTGGTATTCATAAATTTTGCCTACAAATTAAAAAAATCAATTTGAAAAAATTGAATTTCAATATTTAGTTCTCTTTAGTGATCAACGTTTCTGGAAACAATCTTTTTTCATTATTAAAACACAAAATTTCACTTCAAATTGTAAATAGCTTCAATCATTTTGAAGCGGCCCAGAAAAAATAAAAATAAAGAGAAGTATTGAGTCCTCCACAAAATATGTCTTTGAAAAAATATCCTATTATCCATAACTCAACACATTCGCAAGTAACCCTTGAAAATTTCTCTACTTCAAAATTATTCTCAGATGTCATACTAAATCATTGAACTGACGGTACGCCTGAAAAAATATAGTTTCTAGTAAAAAACAAGTATGAAAACATGGACTTGAAAAGTAGTTAGAAAAACAAATAGTTTCATGTCATACTAATTTGTAATATTCGTAGAGTCTGGCCTTGTAAAGCAATGAACGTGTTTTCCGATCACACCGTCAGCAGATTTTTTTATCGCTCAAATTTCAAACTATCTGAAATTGAATAAAATAACAGGAATAGTAATTATTTCTGAATGTTTTTCTAGGTTGCTTCTTGTTATGAAATGTAATGATATTACTGTCATCTGGGATATTCTTCACTAATGAATATTATTTGTATTGCAAATCTTCTCAGTTTTAATATATCTAAAACAAATGTAATATGCTTCAAATGTTCCATCAGCAATTTACAAGTTGACAACATCTTTGTTGTGAATAAACCATCAACTAAATTTTTGGGACTAATTATTGACAATGATTTGAATTTTGAAGATCATATCAGGTGTGAGTTAGGATTTGCTGCTGCCAAAGTTACATATCACTATCTCTTAAAATAAATTGATGGATGTAGCCGTTACTATGTGGTAGGAGATCATAATGAAAAGAGAAATGAAAATTTCTATGTTTTTCACCACTTTTATTTTTAACTAACGTTACTGCAGTTTCGTCCTATATGGACATTCTCAAACTTATACAATAAACTAACAATGATTCATTACATTCGCCAATATAAACCATCCCTGTAGGTAATAATAGAAATAGAGGTACTTGACTTGATTGAGTACCTGAATTTACAGTTCACATTGTGGATGTGCCAATTTAAAAACCAGAGAGTAAAATAAATCAATTTGATCATTTAACAGGTTGCACCCGCAACGTGTTTATGCTTGTGAATTTCCAAGGATTCTAAATAATTGAGTTTGCAACCCTTCCTTGCAGAGTGCAGAATTTCCGTATCGTTTAGATTCGGAAATTTGTGGTTGCATGCCAAGGAATGGTTTGAAAACGTCGAATCATTTTTTCCCAGTCTGAAGGATCTTTCGTGTTCAGCATACCGTTTTTGGAAATTTCGGCCGCATTGTCCCACATAAACACTATTACACTCCGGGCACTTGAGCTTATAAACTCCAGATTTTTCCAACTTGTCGACCTTATCTTTAGCATTGAAAAGGAAATGAGATAACCTGGCATGTGGTCTAAATGCTACTTCCACATTGTTTTTGTCCTTTTTCCTAAATATGTTAGCGTTACCCATTTCTTGATTTCTGGTTGTTTGACCTGAGGATATATTAATCTGAAAGTGAATTTCCGGCTTTGTTTCCTGACCAACTTCTGAATAGTATCTGCGTTGAAACCATTATTATGACCTATCTGTGTAATTGTATCAATTTCCCTAGCTAGATTGTCTGCAGACAACGGCAGTGAGAATGCTCTGTGCAACATTGAATTGTAGGCTGCTAATTTATGACTGTCTGGATGGAAAGAATCGCTTGGGATGGTATTGTCTGTATAGCTAGGTTTTCTGAAAACATTGAACTCAAATTTATTCTGATTGTGTGTAATGGCTAGGTCTAAGATTCAATTCAATTCAATGTTGCACAGAGCATTCTTTGCCTTTGTCTACAGACAATTATCTCCATATGGGCAAGGTCGTGCGGCGCACGACGGCGCCAAGGCGTTAAAGGCGCCCTTTGAGTTGACAAAATTGAATAAATATTCAATCCAAAACTAAGGATTTTTTGAAACTTTACAAAAAAATCAACATAAAAAATGTTTCTACCAATACCGATGGTGAAATTTTATTACTCACCTATGCTGACCGGTGGTGAAATTTGAAATTAATGCTATTTAAACTACCTACTTACTTGTCTTCTCTAGAAGTGTAGGCGCCGCGCATTCCCGGCAAGAGTTTTCTTGTTTAAACTTGTAAAACGTTATCGGAAAGGCGAAGTGGCGAAGAAAGGATTCAGTGAGATGCTGGTAGATGCCAAAGAATTGGCAACTGCCTTGGACGTAGATGCGAAATTCAAAAGTGCAGAAACCTTACGGCCACGAAGAATAAAAAAACAATTTTCCTATGAAAGTGAAGATCAGCCAATTGAAAACCAAGAACTAAAATTCAAAGTCAACTGTTTTTTTGGAATGCTAGATATTACTCTTTCATCTGTAAATGAGAAATTTGAGCTGTTATACTCCCATGCCGATGTTTTCAAATTTTTGTGGAATACTGAGGATTTCGGCAAGTTTCCTGATGAAGATCAATTTAATTTTTGTAAAAAACTTGAAGAAGCGTTAACTGACAAAAATCGAAACGAGAGAGACACAGACGGAACGGAACTTTTAACCGAATTACAATTTCTACAAATTTGCGACGGAAAGGTAACATCTGTAGTAGAAACACTTAATTACATTGCAAAAAATATCACTCATTCCCAAACATTACTATTGCGTTACGTATATTATTAACTATACCGATTTCTGTAGCTTCAGCCGAGAGATCATTTTCTAAACTTAAACTAATTAAGAATTACTTAAGATCTAGAATGGGTCAGGAGCGGCTAGAAAATCTTGCTATTATTTCTATAGAATCTGAGTTGTTAAAGGAGCTGAATATTGAAAATCTAATTAATGAATTTGCCAAAGGTAAAGCAAGAAAAGTTCAATTTCTATAAGAAATTTCCGTTGGTTTTCATCATAATAAGTGTATTTGTTTAAAAAATAATCGCAATCTAAATATGTTTTATTTGATCTTCAGTTTTTTAATAATTTTAAGTAATGTTTTATAACTTTAACATAGTTTTTATTCTATTCTGTTTTGTTGTGCAATATAGCCAATATAGTGTTTAATATATTATTTTTTATAAGTGTACTGTGTACTTATTGTTTTATTCAAAAAAAATCTAGGTAGATGTAGAAAAAATTTCATAGTTTTCCACGCTGAAATGGGAAGGAGTGATTGATTATAATATTTCTACCCTGGTAATTTTGATAAAGGCGCTTATCAATATTTCGCACGACGGCGCCGAAGTTACTTGGCGTGTCCCTGATTATCTATTAGAATCTCACCTAAGATATAGAGTCCCTTTCTGGGGTGCATGTTCTGTGACATTGCAATCAATTTTAGTTATACAGAAAAGAGCTGTACGTTTTCTGTGTAAAGCTAAGCCACGAGATTCTTGCATTTTGTTGTATATGCATATATTCCAGTATCTACTTGAAAATGTATATTATTTTATAGTTTTATATAACTAAGTAGCGATAGCTAATATGTGTAATTTTGTTTGTTTGTTTTTTTTATTTAATTATTTTAACCAAGCTTTGTCAATAAGATATGAATCTTCAGACAATAAAGCATATTTTGACTTTGACATTGGTATAAGCTAGTTCTACCCACAAGAAATGGTCATTACACGCTTCAATGATTTACAACTCTCACCTTCTCTGATAGGTTTTAACTTTATTTCAAAATATGCTTTAAAAAAAGACTGCCACTTCCAAAAATATGTTAATAATTTGTGTGGAAAATGATTACAAAAAGAGAATTAAGAGAATTGTACATTGAGGAAAATTACTTTGACAATTTGTCATTAGACAAAAACCAGAATAGCTAATATCTATTAATGTTGCTGAGACTTCGAGATAAAACCTTCATCCTCGCAGCAAGAAGGGGGGATCCGAAAAAAAAGAAGTAATAAAATACTCGAAAAGGGGATTGCAGAAAAGAATGCAAGTTGAAAAACGAGAATCAGGAAAAATACATTTATATCAGATGATCAAAGAGAGCTTCGTTTGACTTCCAATCTAAAGCTGTTAATTTTGAAGAAAACTAGAAAAAGTCAGAAAACACACTTGAAGTTAGTTTCCATCAGAAATGATTTTTTAGACCAGGGACATCAAAATGAGATTATAGAACTGAATATTTTGAAAAAAGGAAAATACTGGAAAGAAATCTTTTGGTTTTCTACCTCTTCATCATTGAACCAAAAATGCGGGAAACTCCCAAGGAATGGAGGAGGGTAATAACTACAATGAATAAAAACTATTTATAGAAAATATGTAGAGCATTCACAGAAGTCTTTTCCAGATGTGGAAAACCTTAAAAAGAGTAGAAATGTGGAAAACCTCAAAAAGAATAGTAAATAATAATTATCAGGACATTCCACCAAATATTAGATCTATAACTGCTGAAAACAATATCAAAATACAGTATTTCAATGATTATTTTATTGGAAGTATTGAAGATATCGTTCAGAGTAAACAGAGTATAGATAATACTGAAACTTGGAGTAATTCAAATAGTAACTTATACTTGAAATTTGATCAATTTGAGTGACTCTATGCAGGATGTACGTAAAATCGTTGGTGGCTTAAACAATATGTTTTCTGTATATAATACATTGAATTGGAAAATGTTGAACGAAGTATTTGAAACCATTAGCCATGTAATACTGAATTTTATAAATACGTCTCTAAGTACAGGTAAAATTCCACAGAGGCTAAAAATCAGTGCCATTATACCCATTCAAAAAATTACACATACCACTAAAGCAGAAGAATTCCGCCCAATAAATACTTTCCTCCCAATTGAGAAACTTTTAGAAATAACTGTTTATGAACAATTACTACAACACGTTTCAAAAAATTCAATATGAATGAATAATCAATCTGGGTTTCAAAAAGAGTATTCTTGTGAATCAGCACTGCAACTGACCCTATGCTTCGTTAAAACCCAATTACATAACAATAAATATGTTGTCGCGGTATTCTTTGACCTGAAGAGAGCCTTTGACACAATCGATAGGAAAGTATTATCTTCCAAACTCGAACAATATGGTATTAGTGGTATAATGCATGATTGGCTAAATGACTACCTTACAAACGGTAAGCAACATGTTCGTTTTGAATATCAAATATCATCCGATGTGATAAATGATCTAGGTATTCTACAGGGAAGTGTTTATAGGCCTTCTTCTTTTCACTTTATATTTGAATGATCTTGATCTTTTCGTAGATTGTGAATTTATTAATCTTTTTGCTGATGACACCATAATTGCATGTAGCGATATCAACTTTGAGAAAGCTATTGAAAAAATTAACACAGTCTTGTTATCAATAAGCCGATATTTGAGTTTGAATAAACTGAAAGTTAATGTAACAAAAACTCAGGCGATGGTCTTCACAACAAAATATAAATATGATACTCTTGATATTAATAATATTCGTTTGAACATTAATAATAAAAGAATTCAAGTTGTCTCAAGTGTTAATTACCAGGGATTCCTTTTAGATAATGTTTTGAACTTCAATAGTCATTTTGATTATACTTATAAAAAAAATTGAAAAAACTTTTCTTTTTCTCTCGGATACCTCAACATTTATCAACTAAGTCTAAAATCATTGTGTACAATTCAATCATTCAGCCACATTGCTCATACATTGCATATCTGTTTAATCTCAATGAGTTAAATATGCTCCAGAAGTTTCAAAATCGTGGAATGAGAATAATATTGAGAAAAAAATCGCCTGACCCCTATAAGAACAATGTCAATGACCCTTAGTTAGTTCTCAGAGGAAAACAGACTGTTTTATTTCACTATGAGTGTTGGCGGATAAGCGACATACCTGTGCTAAAGCCGTAGAAAGCAAGTTGTGTGTCAACTGCGTGAATATGAATAATGATAAAAAAGGACGTTACAAGTATTGCATCATTCCTAAATGCAAGAATTTTTCGGTAACTGCACCAGACACAATTTTTATTTCACTGCCAAGTAACTTAAAATCACGAAAGTTATGAGACAGCGCTATGCGGGGGCCGACTTTGTATCTGCCAAAAGGACGCATTTTTGTTGCGAAGATCATTTTAATGATGATTAATAAAAAAAAATTATAATTTACTCTGAACACTACTTTGAATTTTAGGTTGAAAAAGACTTAAAAAATTACATGTATATCGAAACTATGAAAGTGGGAAAAATTATATTGAAACCAGGCGTAATTCCGGATATATTTGATTGCCAGATTGATAGACCGACGGCCCACACATCTAACGCTCGACCATTTGTTCAAAAAAAGGAAAAACAAATTTTATTAGATACTTGTAACGAAGATATCGCTGAAAATCAAAGCATGTCTGATGAAGCAGGTACACAGGAAAATACCTTTAATGTTTTAATGTTGGAATTCAAGTTAATAAACAGGTTTTTGGAAGATCAAAAGCTACAGCGCTTATGTAGTCCCTACTGTTATTAAAATATTCCATCACCATGAAAATATCGACTTCAGGTAAATTACCCGAAACAGCTCTACTAAAGCTGTCTTCTAATGAACACATAATGGTCCTTAACTTTTAAATTGGTTCAAAAACAAAAGAATTCAAAAATACTTAACACGAGGTGTTTTCAAACCAGCAAATGAAACAAAATCGGACGATGACAGCGATTCATAACCTCCAACTACAGGCCCGGTTGCCACCGCTCGAAGATCGTTGCCTGGTGTGACGTCAATATGTACCGCGGGTTTCAATTGCTCTTGCTCAGTTGTTAATTGACATGAAAACCGGAAAATTTTGTGGGATACTTGGGAGATGATTTACTTTTATAATATAAAATTTTCAATAAAAAACTAAATTAGCCTGAATGAGCCCATTGCCAATTCTTGTAATACTACTATTTTCTATATTTCAAAATATCAATTGCAATTGTTCACAGATTAATATTATATTATTCTATTTTATATGACTGTTATATATGTTATTTCTGTATATTGCAATGTGCCTTCTTATATGTATATTAAGGTTGCTAATTTAAATAAAGATCTATCTATCTACAAACTGGAAGAAAAAACCGTTTCAGAAAACTACTCTCACATTAATATTGAATTACACAAAAGGAAAAAGTCTTAATGAAGACAAGAGAATTGAAACATTCTATGTTTTTTACCACTTTCATTTGTAACTAATGTTACTGCAGTTTCGTCCTATAAGGACATTTTCAAACTTATAGGACGAAACTGCAGTAACGTTAGTTACAAATAAAAGTGCTAAAAAACATAGAAAGTTTCAATTCTCTTTTCTTCATTATGATTTCCTACCACGTAGTAACGGCTACATCCATCAATTTATGGAAATAGTATTCTTGAACCAACTTCTTTCATATGAACATTGCGTAACAGGAAAATCACTTTTTCTCATACAGTTTATACTACAAATATTCGTTGTTTGTATCTGAAATAAATTTTGGTGTACACCCCACATATCTTCATAAAGAGTTTTAATTGTTGTTATTTTCTTTCTTCCTTTCTTTGGAAGTTTCTCACATTTTTTGTTTAATGATGGAGAAGTAGAAAGCCAGAAAACTTTTCCCCAAAATACAAATCTCTCCTGAATATATCTCTTGTTCAATTTTTAGGAAAATACTCTCGATGAATAAATAAATTTGATGATTTTTTTAAATGTGTAACCCTTTAATGTGTCAAATCATTTTCAGGAAAAAATTGTGACATAGACATCAATGAATGTGAAAGTAATCCTTGCCAGTATAATGGCACTTGCTTAGAACGTTCTAACATGACCCTCTACAATCCAACAATGGCCTCTCAATTCGACTTGGTATTACCAGATTCGTTCAACAAACCCTTCAATTATTCAGATTCTGCTGGTTATGAGTGTCTTTGCGTACCAGGCGTCAATGGGCAGAATTGCGAATTCAATATTAATGAATGCGAAAGCAATCCTTGCGTTTATGGAGCATGTACCGATAAAATTGGAGGCTACATCTGTGAATGTGATGCAGGTTATGAAGGAGTGCATTGTGAAGATGACATCGATGAATGTGCCAAGTACACTCCATGTGTCCATGGAAACTGCATCGACAAAATTGCCAACTACTTTTGTCAATGTGCAAGTGGATTTGGAGGAAAAAACTGCTCTGTTGAACTCACTGGGTAAGTTTAAAAGGTTATCTTTGATGTGGATATAATGCATCAAAGATGCTGAAAATAATGTTTCTATGGAATTATATTTCATAATAATAATAGTGAAATGAAATGTTTTACTGTTTGAACCTCTTAATATTTTTCTACTTTTTCATATTTTCATTGTCTCTGTACAGTAACTCGATTTTGATTTTTTTATTTTACATTATATGTGGAGTTGATCCTTATATTTGTAATTTTACAATATTGTTGAACCTGAAGATGGCAAAAAGGTTGAAACATAAGTCATTGTATGATTAAAAATAAATATATAATATTTTTGATAAATTTTAATATAGATTGAATCTGCCAAGGAAATCTACCAATTAAAAAACACGGAATAATAAAACAATATGAAAAATAAGAAATAAACGTCCTATTTTTTTTGTACTTGTATTTGTAAATAACGTTACTGCTATACGGACATTTTCAAACGAATACAATAAAATAATACAATAATATAAAAAATAAATACAATAATACAATAAAATGTTCGAATAGGACGTAATTGTACTAACGTTAAATACAAAAACAATTAGTAAAAACATGGGAAGTTTCAGTTCTCATTTTTCATGATGCTCTCCTGCCACGTTGGAACGGCTACATCCATCAATTTATTAACACATACTACAATAATATACATAATGTAATGGAAAACAGGATAATAGAAAAAGGTTCCTATTTTTGTAGTAAATATAAATAGAGATCTGAATCGTTACTAAACCAGTTGTTGATGAAATTTAGTGAAACATCAGTTGTATCTTCCTCTTGTACCAGTGAAATCATATTGTGATTCTAAATAATAATAATGATAATAATATTTATTCATCCTTAAAGACGTTGACAAACGTATAGGATAGGTCACTATTAAGCACATAAAAATCACATGAAACGATAAAATTGTAGATCCGTAGATAAAAATAATACAATAAAAATGTATACAATAAAAGTCAGAATTAAAAAAATTAAAACAATTGTAGTTATAAAAATTGAATATGTCATGCCAAAGCCACATGAACCCATTCAGTCGAGATGGTCCGAGAGAAATTCACCAATACTATAGTAGGCCTTAGAAAGCAAAGAAGCAATGTTTTAACTGCTTTTTTAAATGCTACTGTGTTCATCTGTTTGAAATGATCTGGTAACCGATTGAATAATTTTATTCCCATATATTTGGGAGAATGTATGTTTAGGAATGCTCAACTCCTCTGCATATCGAGTTGGGGAGCTATGATAGAATAAGTTCTTAGTACAGTCTGTTATACATTCGCGAACATATAAAAGTATTTTAAAGATGTAGATGCAGGGAAAGGTTAAAATTTGATAACTAATGAAAAATGTCTTGCATGATTCCCTCCAAGGGATGCCTAGTAATTTCCTAATAACTTTTATTTGAGCAATGAAAACCCAATCTTTGTCAACACTGTTTCCCCATAGGATCACATTATAACTTAGATGGCTATAGACCAGAGTGTAATATACATCTAAAATATCGCGTAAAGGCATACAATTCTTAATTCTTGAGATTACATAATACCCTTGATTGGTTTTTTTACATACAATGTGATATGGTCAGACCACTTCAAACAGTTGTCTACATGAACGCTAAGGAATTTTGTACAGCTTGTGCATGCCAGTGCCATTCCATTGATTAGTAAGCTTTTTCAAATCGTTTTTTAAATTAAAATAGATATATTTTGTTTTGCTCAAGTTTACAATCAGATTGTTCATGTCACACCAATTTAAGAACAGTGATATTAATTCCTCTGTTTTTGATTTTAATTCCTCCTGACTCTCTGCTGATACAGCTAAAGACGTGTCTTCGAAAAGAGTGAGAGCATATTCATTATAGGTGAAATAAGTAGGCAGATCATTTACAAACAACAGAAAGATCAGCGGACCTAACACAGAGCCTTGAGGAACTCCAGAACATATATCATGATAGTCTGATTTCATATCTTTAATCTTGACGGACATCCTAGGATCTGTAAGAAAGTCAGTGATCCATTCTAGGAAGTCCCCTCAAAATCCTAGTATATATATAATTTGCTCTTGATGAATTTAAAATTTAAACAATCGAACGCACGTGACAGATCGAAGAATAATCCTGCAACATGCTTACCACTATCTATAGAAGCGTATATGATTTTTAGGAATCTCCAAGTATCTGATTGAGTGGACTTGCCTTTGCAAAAAACATGTTGAGAATCGGACAGGATCTTAAACCTTGATAAAAATCTCAATATTCTCTCATTCATAACCTTTTCAAAAATTTTTGAGAAAATGCTTAGCAGGGCTACAGGGCGATGTATCGTTCTTCTTATGAACGGTATGATCATGGCTGTTTTTAGAATTGAAGGAAATTTGCCACTTGTGACTGATAGATTCAACAACTAAGCTAAATGTTTTGAAATGTGTAACTTAATTCCTTTTAAAATTCCCACTGATATATTATCAATTCCTGTACTTTTTTTATTTTTTAGACTGTTAATTACTGCGTCAATTTCACATTCGTTAATGGGCATAAAGAAAAAAGTATTCGATTCAACTCCAGAAACCGTGTATACGGATGATCTATTGTCGCCAAAATGGTCTGCTAAGCTATTTTCTATTACTGAAGAGAAATAGTCCCCAAATATGTTTGCAACATGATCTCTATCTGTGATTACTTTATTATTATAGTTGAGAGTAATATCTCTTTGAATTTTTTTTCTGTTCGTTTCTTTGTTGACTAGATTCCAAACTGTTCTATTTTTATTGTTAGAATTCTTAATTACATTTTCGTAAAAATTCAACTTTGAAGCTTTTATTAATGATTCATAGTCTTTCTTCGCTTTTTTGTATACAGCACGAGAACGTATGATGAAGCCATTGTATGGCGAAACACGTGTTGCGTTTTTGTAAAACAATTTAGTGAAAATCTCACAATAAAGTGTTTTTGGAATACGTTAGTTATGGATTTTCATCAAGTATCGGCCGATTCCATCATATACATGTCATAAAACTATGTTCTTTCAACCACTCACAGAATGAGATATATTGCAAATTATTAAGAAACTGAAAAATTCCAGGTCTTCTGAAGATGACAAAATTCCAAATATTCTTCTCAAACACATGACTTAATTGTAACCCAATATTTATTAAACCTTTGAGCTGTAGCCAACTACAGAGGCATTACATTATGCACTAACATTTGAGGCAGCAAATTAGTGAACAACTTCTATTATTGAATATTACTGGAGTTTTTCCCAACACCAAATCGTTATTTTTAACACCTCGACACGCGTTTCGATCACCAAATGATCATCTTCAAAGAGGAAGATTAAAACTGTTTCAATCTTCCTCTTTGAAGATGATCACTTGACGAAACACGTGTCGAGGTGTTAAAAATAACGATTTGGTGTTGGGAAAAAACTCCAGTAATATTCATTACTACACCAAAGATTCCAAACAGTGCATCATAAGAACTTCTATTATTCTTAAATTAAAATTCAACATTCTCAAAAAAAAACATGGGTTTACAAAAAAAAGTAGTACTGAAACTGCTTTGAATGCCTTTGTTTCTAAAATGATTGAGGCATTGGTTAAGTGAGAAGTGGCCATTGGTCTCTTTCTAGACTCCTTCAAAGCTTTTAACTGTGTATCACAAAATTGTACTACACAAACTATATCACGATTTGGTATAAGGGGATAGCTCTTGAGTTTATTCTTTGTTGTCCTAAATTGTCAGTATGGAAAACGAAGTGTCTAATATAGCATCTGTGAGAATTCTATTAATCAAATATACTGAAGTTGCAACAGCACATATTATCATACATCTAGATTTCAGCAAGCCATTTTGTTCTGATGTATAAATGTCTGATGTTTTATACCAGACATGAGTAAGTTTGCAAAAGATCGATTTCTGTACACAGTCCCATTGTCTGAATGGATCACTTTTTTTTTTCATTGTCGTTCTCTGCATAACGTTTGAAGTCAAGAAATATCTTGACTTCCAAGTCACAACACAACACAAGTCAGTGTACAGAAGTTCCAATATTTCTGATGATCGGTTTCCTAAGCAATCTATATTGTTTGCTTTTCAAACAAGAAATGCACGGTTCTTGATTTGTGTTTTTGAAATCGTCACCATCTCCACAACCATGTCTTATTCGTTTATGCCACGTCTATTATAGTTTGTGAAGGTACAAGAAGCGTATCAGGCATCTGTTCACAATTGACTTTATGAATTTTATTTTTCATAGTTCCGGTTGCAATCAAAATTTTTACAACTTTTTGAATTGAAATGCACTTCATTTTCATTTTTAGTGATTTGACTAATTCTCAACAAGATTTGGAACAACTTGAACGTCTTTCACAATCACTGTACCCTTTTCACCATTAGCTTGAATATTCAATGTTATTCTTCCAGTTTTCAGTATAGGTATCCGTTCTTCATTAGCAATAACAATTTCCGAATGACTTCAAACTGGGTTCTTGAGTCAATGTACCATTTTTCTCGATCTACATTAATTTCCTAACATTGGAAATTCAATCATTTTCATATATGCTACTTAGAATTTGGTTTGGCACTGCTGTCTTTATCACAATAATCATTACATTTGAGGCACCTCGGGCATTTTGACTTGAATATCTGATTGGAATATTGCTTTCCAAACTGCTTACCTTTACTGAGGAACGCTTCATCATGATGAGATCCTTCAACAACATCGGTAGATTTTACATCTTGTAAAAGTTTGTATTTTATGAAATCCCCTGTTATGCTCGGGCTGGAAATCTGAATTCGCATAATAATTGGTTTGTATTCATCTGGGAGTCCAGCGAGTAAGACAGTTCCTATCCACTCTTCATTAACTTTGAAACCCATAGAATTCAACTAGTGAGCGGTAGAAATGATAATATTATCATATTGATCAACATAGGATGCATTTTGAAGTTGAGTTGTGATTAATGATAACAGAACTCCTACTCTTC